TACGGTAGAAATCGGTGATATGCGAAGCACGAATGAGGAAGATTGGTATGTCACTTTTAAATCAGCAAGACATTACGAGGAGGACGTGAATTTTTCCGTACATGACTTCCATGTCATGATTTTTATGTTGAGGCATGTCATATACCTTCATTGTTTATTATATACCTCAAAATTATGCAAGGAAGATGTTGCCACGTGAAACTCAACTCGTAAAATATTCTTGCAGGATATTCTCCACTCAGTGTGCACTCAAGGAACAGTGCATCATGGATGCGTCCAATTGTTTGAAACAAACTGAGTGTGAACTTTGTTTCGTACAAGCACATGCATCGGTGATGCACTGTACTTTTTCTTTTTAACTTCAGTGTGACTGACTTAATGCTGCCGCCATGTCACATGTAGTGTAAGCTGCGGTTGCCAGCAGAAAATAGACTTTCTTGTTGTATTTCTTTCCAATCAAATTCTGTGGTCAATATTTTTAACACTCCTAATCATCGCTTCCAAAGAATTTCACTCAGTGAATGCCTCAAACAATTGCAATGAAATTCGGGTGACTTTCATTACTAGAACGTGCCTGTCTAAACAGAGCATTTCTGTAGACTGGCACAGTCTAATGACGTGAGCATGTCTTCACCAGTGAGACAATGAGCATGATATGGTCCCATAGGGCATCCCTGCCGAGGCATTTGTATGTAAATGCAAATGCCCCTGGAGGAAGTTGATGCATATCGAAGGCTCTTCACTATTTATTATATAAAACACTTTGGACTTAACCCCAACCCAAAATTCAACTGTGTTCATGTCGTCGTCCTTTTTGACAAGCATTTATTACAAAAGCCAAATGAACTGCACTCACAATACTTCTTCAGAACACGTTGAAGAGCAAATCGACATCATAGCTAACTTAAAGCTCCAGGAGCATGGCTATGCTTTCGGGAAACGAACAAAAAAAGGTCGTAACCATACCGTCTGTAGCATGTAAGAAAAAAATTCTCGTGGAGACATTCTAGAGATATTAGGTCCGACACCAGAGAAGGCTGAAAAAGCGTGTCAAGCCCATGAAGCTACTGCAGTTTTAATGAAGCAATTAAAGAGGGTATGGAGCAAGTACAACGAACAAAAGTGCTTCACGGCAGTTTGTAAAAGTGGCTAAGTAGATAGACCTGGCAGTAGATAGTGAGGACAAAACCATCTTGGCAGTTGAAAGCGGCCAACCAAGCTCAAACCACACGTTCGTTACAGTCAATGGGAAGCTACTAAAACTTTTTTGAAGTGCACAGCAGAGCAACTGTTAACGTCATTTCAGCTAGGCACGTCAACGCACGGCAACTAGAACCATATGCAATGACACTGCGAACTTGGTACGAAAGTGAAGTGCAATACTGGGGCGAAACTCAACTAGACGTCTCCGAAGCAAACGAACAGTGAGATTATAGTCTTTGGAGAAGACCTCACTTTTCTGATCAGAAGAAAAAGAGCTAATAAAATGGGCCTCACAACTGTAGACTACAAACTTGGGTAAAAGCGGCGCTGGGGAAGGGTGGGGTGTTTGCACTGGAGCCCCCCCCCCCCTAAAAGTAAACCTATCCCAGACACAACGCATATCTACCTGCCTCTGTATCTCCCTGACGAAACTCGCTTGTTGTCTCTGCCCCCCCCCTCCAAATAAGAAACTCCCATGGCCTCACCCATGACTTTGTGATTTAAATACATGAAGTTCCCGAAGACCAGTTCATGCGTCAGATAGTAGAAAAATACCCTGACGCCATTGGAGACACTTTAAAAACACTCCCCGGAACTGTTCGTATCAAAAGTAAGCCTGATCTGCTCCCAAATGCAATAATAGGCTGCTTAGTGCAAGTCACAACATTAAACTGCATCTCGAACAAACGCTGATGAACCTAAACAAATTGGTGTCATCAAAAGCATATTTCACCTAAGCCATTGTGTTAGTATCATAAGCCAACAAAATGGGTCAAGTTAATCATTGTCACAACCAAAAAAATGGCAGATGCTACCTACTGTAGAAATCGGTGATATGCGAAGCACGAATGAGGAAGATTGATATGTCACTTTTAAATCAGCAAGACAATACGAGGAGGACGTGAATTTTTCCGTACATGACTTCCATGTCATGATTTTTATGTTGAGGCATGTCATATACCTTCATCGTTTATTCACGTCACTTGATACCTAATTTAGTATATGCGGAGCTAGCGAAACAGCCGCGAGCGTGCTGTGAGCGTAGCATGTAGTCATATCTTACATGACACGCACATCATGATTATCATGTTCAGACGTGTCATATACCTTTTTCTTCTATTCACGTCACGTAATACGTAATTTGGAATGTCATCACCATCATCATCATCATCAGCCTCACTACGTCCACTGCAGGACAAAGGCCTCTCCCATGTTCCGCCAGTTTACCCGGTCCTGTGCTTGCTGCTGCCAATTTATATCCGCAAACTTCTTAATCTCATCTGCCCACCTAACATTCTGTCTCTCCCTAACCCGCTTGCCGCTATCCTGTCTACGCGCTACATGCCCGGCCCATGTCCATTTCTGCTTCTTGATTTCAGCTATGATATCCTTAACCCCCGTTTGTTCCCTGATCCACTCTGCTCTCTTCTTGTCTCTTAATGTTACACCTACCATTTTTCTTTCCATTGCTCGCTGCGTCGTTTTCGATTTAAGCTGAACCCTCTTTCTAAGTCTCCACGTTTCTGCTCCATAGCTAAGTACCGGCAAGATACAGCTGTTATATACCTTCCCCTTGAGGGATAGTGGCCATCTACCTGTCATAATTTGAGAGTTCTTGCCAAATATGCTCCACCCTATTCTTATTCTTCTAGTTACTTCAATCTCGTGGTTCGGCTCCACGGTTATTACCTGCCCTAAGTAGACATAGTCTTTTACAACTTGAAGTTCACTATTACCTATTTCGAAGCGCTGCTCTTTTCCGAGGTTGTTGTACATTACTTTCGTTTCTGCAGATTCATTTTAAAAGCCACTTTTCTGCTCTCCTTGTCTAATTCCGTAATCATGAGTTGGAATAAGTGGAACTAGCTAAATGGCCACGAACACGCTATCAGCGTAGCATGTAGTCATGTTTTGCATGACACACATGCCATTATTATTATGTTTGGACATGTAGTTTACCTTCGTCGTTCATTCACGCCACGTAATACCAAATTTGATATAACTTAAGCTAGCAAAATGGCCGTGAGTGCATCGTGAGTGTGGCATGTAGTCACGTTGTTACATGACACGCATGTCATGATTATCATGTTTGGACGTGTCACTTGTGTTGACCATGTAGGCATGTCACACCATACCAGTTTTGCAACATATCATGAGGCGAAAAGCACCACAAGAGCAGCAAGACCATGAAATGTAAATCATGACATTCATGACATATATGTCATGACTTTCATGTTACGACTAGTCACTTATGCTCGTCATACAGTCATGTTATGCCATTATAGAAACCGCCAGCCGAGCTAAAAGTCGTAGGTGGCTGGATAGATAGATAGATAGATAGATAGATAGATAGATAGATAGATAGATAGATAGATAGATAGATAGATAGATAGATAGATAGATAGATAGATAGATAGATAGATAGATAGATAGATAGATAGATAGATAGATAGATAGATAGATAGATAGATAGATAGATAGATAGATAGATAGATAGATAGATAGATAGATAGATAGATAGATAGATAGATAGATAGATAGATAGATAGATAGATAGATAGATAGATAGATAGATAGATAGATAGATAGATAGATAGATAGATAGATAGATAGATAGATAGATAGATAGATAGATAGATAGATAGATAGATAGATAGATAGATAGATAGATAGATAGATAGATAGATGTGTACTCAACTGCAAAATCTCAGAAAGCACAATGTTTTTCTTCTAGTTCGAAGCAGCAATGAATTCAGAGTTTAATATCTCACCCCTTTGATCACTACACTACGAGCAGACTAGGGGGCCTACTAGTAATGCACCTCAACAGTAATATTACCTGCTGCTTGAACATGAGACAACCAAATTAGGAATTCCCGGCACGAAAACACTATCCAAACATAAAAAGAGCCCTGCAACCCTTTTTTCAGCATGCTCAGAAAACGCTGCCCATGATTGCTCGAGGCTCCCGAGAACCCGCAAGCCGCGCAGCGCGCGGCTTAGATTTTGCAGTCATTCTTCAAATTCAGTTAAAAATCACTCTGTCTATTCTTTACAATATTGCCATTAACTGAATCACTTTGCCATTTGCCCTTAGACTAAAAGTGGTCTCTGCTGCGCGAGTCGTCTCAGTTCCTGCGAAGGCCCTGAGTCACCACCGTTGGCTGATTTCAGCATCGCAAGCTGCATCATTACCATAGTCCCCATGCACCCTTGGTTCCTGAAAGTAATCTGGACGTTCAAAGAAAATGAACTCATGACGCAAGCTGACTAAGGGCCGCACGTTCTCGCCCCTTGTGGTGCCCCTACATATATTTTCGATAGCTCGTTCGCTGCTACGAAAGGGGAGATAAAGTGCTTGAAGCCTGCGACAAATACCTGTAACTCCGGTAGGGTTAGACGAATTTCGAAGCGTCTTGGTGTCAAGTATGTGATACGTTAAGCATCACGTGCTAATTACGGTCTATTAGAACTCAGAAAAGCGTTCCAGGACCCCTTTCGTGTGTAGGGTGCAATTGGACATGTGTTCAATGTGTTATTCGTGCAAGCACATCTCAACAGCATTGCCTTTGCCTCGTGACAGCTCTGAAGATTAAGGTTTACATGTGCTCAAGTCACCCGTTACAGCTACCACAATCACAACTGAAGCCTGAATATCGTCGATAATATCTACACATTTCATCGACGTTTCTTTTTCTTGATGAACGACATCCAATGCATAGCCTGACGTTAGTGGATTGCTACAAAACCAGAAGTAAACCTTTCTTGATTGAACTACTTGCTCTCTCTGCACGCAGGCTGAAGTGACGCATTTGGTCGTTCAGTTTGTGTTCCCGGCGCTCTTCCTGCTCATATCGGCTGGACTGACTCTTCTCTTGCCCGAAACGCTGAACAAGCCACTGCCTGACACTTTCCACGAGGCAGAGACCCTAGACAGGTACGCGGGCTCTATGATGTGTTGCAGTGCTGCGGAATGGGCACCTTTATTCCAATCCGATTCCACTCCGGAGAATCGCAACTTGTCGCAATTCCATTCTTTTAATTTCTTCTTAATGAAAAAACATAGCTCATTCCCACTCTGAGAATGGCCAGGCAGGTAAATTCCATTCCTACAATTCATCAACGTAGAAAAGGCGTGTTATGATAGCTTTATCAAGTTAAGAATGACTGTAACAACATTATTTTGATGTCATAAAAGGCATAAGAACGGCAAAACTACGCTATACGCACTACCACGGTCGACTGATAGTAGCTTATCTCATGCAGCACAACCACACTACTAGTTCACATAGCAGCAGTTCTCCCACTACTTATGGTATTAGCATGGTCAGTACCATCACAAAAAGTTAGTAAACAGTCGGCTACACATGTATTTACTTGTATTGAGCGTACTTTACTACCTTCACGGCATCTCCTTCACTAGCCAGCAGCTAGTAAAGCTTGAAACCTCTAACTCCCTATTCCCCAAGCCCAGCGCAGCGTAGCATACCGAATCCTAGCATCTGGTTAACTTCCCTGCCTTCTTTTTTTTCTCGTTTTTCTCTCTCTCTCTTTCTTGCCATCACTAACCAGGAATATTTTTTGTATTTTTAACTAGGTAACTACTAAGCCACATACGTTGCCAGATCTCTCGTAAACACCACCGTATATCTTGCAGCGACCTGCTACGGTGGTTCAGTGGCTAAGGCACTTGGCTGCTGTCCCGCAGGTCACGGGATCGAATCTCGGCCACAGCAGCCACATTTTCAATGGGGACGAAAAGGCTCAACGCCCATGTGCTTAGATTTAGGTGCACGTTAAATATTCACCAGGTGGTCGAAATATCCGGAGTGCTCCACTACAGCGTCTCTCTTAATGATACGGTGGTTTTTCGACGTTAAACCTCAACAATTATTATTAGTAGTAGTCTGCCTTGCAGTAATCGTGACACTCTTAAAACTAATATCAATTTTGTCGATTAAATTGAAATAAACATTTCGTGCTAAGTGACAACCCATATATAGAAGGACAGACGAGGATGTGTACACAACGTTCATTACTTTTCTAAATTCGATGGCTGCTAACCAGTACACAGTGTGCTATTATTGATTTGTGTGGTTTAACGTCCCGAAACCACCATATGATTATGAGAGACGCCCTAATGGAGGGCTCCGGAAATTTCGACCACCTGGGGTTCTTATGTGCACCCAAATCTGAGCACACGGGCCTACAGCATTTCCACCTCCATCGGAAATGCAGCCGCCGCAGTCGGGATTCGAACCCGCGACCTGCGGGTCAACAGCCCAGTACCTTAGCCACTAGACCACCGCGGTGGGGCACAGTGTGCCATTACAAAGTACGAGCATAAATAGCCTTCGAACAGCTGCTACCGTATACAATACCGGTTAAGCCTTGATATTCTATGTGCGCGTTTGCGTGTATGCCCTCGTCCGTAATTTGTTCACGCTCCTGCGTATGTTCATGTGATGCGTGCTTGCCATGGTAATTACACGAAGTAATTAGTGGTCAATAATTATTCTATGTGAAGAATTCCACTTCGATTATTAACCTATATATACTTTTGTAATTGATTTTTTCCTTGTGGCAACATACGTGCACATATAAACAACCATTAACTAAACATTCAGTAATGTATTAATTATTCCAGTAAGCGCTACTCACGCACTACTGTGCAAACTAGCCATTTTCACTAATCAGCATTTACTACCTTCAATTTACTAGGAGGTTAGGGCTTCTTGGGGTAAGTAAACGGTTATTATTTAGTTAGTGAATGATCAGGCCTTTTTACTAAGAGTGCGTGTTTAAACAAATAATCTTTCAATATTATTTAAGTTTCAATGCGTTAATGGTAAAACGACGATTTAGCGAATCCTCGTGTAGGGATTTGGAAAGGTGTCGCCTTGGTTACGTGGGATCACCTGCTTGGGCTGGCTACCCGAACCAACGCTTTAAGTCTATTCCAGCTCTCTTTGTGTATATGGTTTATCTTGTACAACAGCTCACCTCACACACAGTTCATTGTGTATGAATGTGTGCTGCACTGACCTACAGACCTTCTCGATAGAGTTTCGGGCAAAGGCACCAATATGTGTAGGCAGCAGGTAAGTATTGAAAAAAGAAGGGGGGGGGGGGGTAATATGTGATTATACTGCGCGCTAGCTGGTATATATAAAAGCTTGCAGTAAACACAAGCATTGCAACGGCGTCAATACGCATCACAACTTGAAGAAGCACATTCTCGAATATGCGTCGGAGTCACTAATGGCGGCAGAAGCAAAAACATAGTGATGGATGGGGACACAGCTGGTGGCTAGGCGCCACCGAGGGCGAAAAGATCACACGGTGTAAGGTGGGTATGCCGCCACCATGTAGTTGCACAAGATGGATACCATGACATAAAGCCGTGGTTAATTACGTGAAGAATAGAGCAAAAATTTGGAGCAACACAACCTATACAAGGACCGAATTATACTGGGTGCGTTACTTATAAATGTGTTATGCTTGTAATCTTCGAGGCATTTTCAACTTGCTGCTTTATTGTTAAATTAAAGGATCTGATTACTATTGCTTGAAGTTTGAACAACAGCATGTCGACGAAAATGTGCTCTATTTTAAAGAAATACCTAATTTTATTCTTATTTCATTCTGTGAAAAATGCCCTTAATTCCATTCACATTCCGTACCTCCAAGTTTGTCGCCATTCTATTCCCATTTCATCCCGGGGTTGCGAAAATGTGGAATGATTCCAGATTCCTTCCGATTCCGGAGTGACAGCTCCGCAACACGGATCTGTTGAAGACATTACAGAATAAAAGAACTACGTGGCCTCAAAAATGCGCTATAACTTCAGTGTTCCTTCCAATATTTACGAATGGCTTTACTGTAAAGATGAAGGTTGCTACACTTTTTTTCCTGTATATTAGTTTTCGAAAAAAATTGCTTGCTACGTCAAAGGGTATTTCCAAGTGTCGTCTGAAGGTGCCTAGATTTTAAGCTTCAGGGGTAGAGATTTCTCGACATATCTGTGTAGTTACGGCCGATGCTTCCATGCACATACACTTACATTTTGTTCTTACGACACCGGCATTTAAAAATAACAAAAACCTATTGATCCCGCTAGTTTCTGAGGTTATGATTTTGCTTATCTTTCTTTGTTGTAGAGATGTCTTCATGAGGAAACAGATGTAAACGAAGCGCGCACTCGACTTACTCGGATAGTTGCCCGAAAACAACTTCTCTCAGCTTTAGAATAGAAAGCTATCAAAAGATAGAATGCAAGAATAAGAATGCTAGTACATTCACCTTTAGAATTCTACGGTTGTCCACAATGTCATCAAAGTGTTTTAAATTGTGATCACGAACAGTAAGCCAGAGCTCACAGCAAAGAGGGAGCTGGCGAGACACTCACAAACGCTACATTAATACTCATAACGAAGAAGACTAGTCCTCGCAAGTACTGACAAAGCTAGAAAACATTTGCCACCAGCTCATTTTTCTTTACCTCAGAGCGTGGCTTCATTACTCTTTTGCACCAAGTTTAATAAAAACTTATCTGCGTATCTTCAGAGAGTGTTGTGGTCGTATGAGTTTGTACACTTCGGAATCGCTGAGCCACTCAATACCTTTCAAGCAGCATTTCTTTTTTTTTTCAGGTAGCTTCTCACTTTTTGTTTCTTACGTCATTGTCTCTTTTTCTTTCGAACTTGCTTCCTCCATATCTTCAATTTTTGTGGGTGACATCAAGCGCATTAGTTTTCTTTTTCTCTATGCTGCCGATCATAAGTGATCATCCCTTGAAGAGGAAGAAGACTTCTGCTCAGCGCGCGTTCAATGTGCGACGCATGGAGCAGTACGCCAAGCCACGAGGACAGAATGCTACAGCATATACAGCAGGCTGGCCTCATAAAGTATTCTGGGCTTTAAAATAATTACTTCCCAGTCATATCATATCAACGTAACGTAATGCACAAAAGCATTGCATGTCATCACGTGCCATGTGCCCATGTTTGAAGCATATAGACCTGCAACTGTAAAAGAAGAGACAAAGTTGAATTATGATTTTCAGACAGTTTTTTGCCCTGAGATGCAACCTGACCAGAAATAATACACTGCAAAGGCTTTTCACCTCAGAACAATTTTCAATAATGCTCTCGTTAAAATTCGGCCTCACCTTTATATAAACTCTCCCCACATGTTGAAACGAGCTAACACTTTCTCAGTACAATCGGCTCACGCTGAGCTTGGGCTTGCTTAATAGCAACGGTGTTGAAACGTTGCTCAAAATCAGCGTCGGGTGTGCTGTCATGGTAAGTGGGGAATGTAAGTATGCGTACAAGAAGGTACACTTATCAACCGTGTCGATTACTACGCAATAAACACCAATTTTTGTCACATATTGTTAGAACTGGAATGAAATGGAATGAAATGAAAAAACTTTATTTCAGTCATGCAGGACGCCCTCAGCGCGTAGCGGCCGTCTCCCACGTAGGTACCGACAAGGAGTCGCTGGCGGCCGCTTCGTGGGCCTGCTGGACGGGCCATTGCTGGTCGGCGAGAAGTGAGCTCCTAAGGGACCTCTGCCACTTGTTTGAATTAGAGTCGGAAGGAGTGTTTCTACACTCCCCAAGCATATGTGCGAGTGTCGCCGTGTGTCCACACGAGCTGGAAGACAGAACGCAATTCAAAAACTACTGAATGTACGCAGTTCTTATTTGCATTAGCGCAACTCAGGAGTAACTTACCCGCAAGCTTTCAAACTTTCTGATGCGATACGCTTCAGTGACCTCTGGCGTTAACTGCGAGCTATGCTTGCCCAATACCTCGTCACACTCAAAGTGGGGCAAGTAGCCGCAGTCACGGCAACGAATGTGGCTACGTGCCCAGCTGTGAATGCAGTGTTGGGAGAGAGCCTGTCACCCACAAGACGTCGTCATTTCTCATGACATCATTTACCATAGTGATCGGACTATTGTTGCATCGTCGTGTTGTGCTACCAAAGTGCTTGACAGTGCTGGAAGTCATTCATGGCGGTGGCGGTCACGTATATAACATTTGGGCAAAGTGAGAAAATGACAATAATGGCCATGCACTGAAACCTCACGGACACCGCTACACCGCAGCGTGTCATATCTGCCAAAGCCGCAAGTGTGTAAAAGTGTTGACAACGTGCGTTCAGTGTCACCTGTTACCTCCACTTTAATTTCATTCGATTATATCGCAATGGTAGCCACTGCAGGGGAGAATCGCCTGCTAAGTGTCACTTATACGCGCCTAATTGTTACAGCAGCCGTAGATAGTTTCAACATCGCCCAAAGAAGTTATAGCGCATTTGCAGTCAGTGTTGTGTAGCTGTGGTTGACCTGGGTACTGCATGTGTGTGGCCATAGTATATGCTTGGAATCTCTCCACTTTAAGCAGTTGATACGCATGCACGGTGTAATGGTCCACCACTCTTTACCGAACTGGCCGCAAAGGTCTTGTGGAAAGAAGAAACGAAACGTAAGTCTCCGTTCTTCGGCAGCTGCGGCCATATGACCCGACCACTTGGGAAAGGAAACTGAAGAAGCTTCACTTGCCATCAGCACAATATACAGCATCGGTGGTTGTTTCTGTTTATTCGAGCTACTTTATGGACAAGTCTCCAAGCTCCCGTATCAACGTAACGAAGCCACTAGTACGAGGACGCTGGACCATATTCTATTGCTGTGGCTACTGCAGCAGGTACTAGTAAGTACAACAGAAACGAAATGCTGAGTAAGATCCACTCTATATAGGTTTTATTATGATATTCATCAGATCACCTGACATTATCTTAGTGCGTCGCCATGAGCTCGTAGCAAATAATAATCAAAAGTAGACACTTAGGTTGATTAGAGTAGACATAACCATCGGCCAAAAAACGCCTGTTAGATTTGTGATTAGCCGTACAACTGGTCAGGGTCCCATCGTCGGCCCTCAGATTGGGTGCGCCCGTCTCTCAACTCTAGCACTAAGTTCATCTGCGTGTTGAACCCTATAACGTAAAATGCCAAAATTTTTTTCTCTTCTTTTTGAGTCCCTTCCAGCATTACCAGCGGTTCTCTTTTGTTGCCTCAACTAGCAGACTCTACTGACCGTGCAATCTTACTTCCAGCAGTGCCCTCATTTACCCCGTTGCCAAAGGCACCCACAAATATTTCTCGCAGTGAAGACATGCATCATGGAGGAAGAAAACAACACTGGGGATGGAGGCCCTGGCATCAATCATTGTGAAGAAATTGTGAAGTTGGAAGTCGGCCATAGTGACTGGACAACATCTCTTCGCTTGTTTACATCTGAATGTGAAGCAGAAGACGCGACTACGGCTCAGAAAGCACGTGGGCTGCGCGGCGCATGTGCCATGGCGATCCGAAACCAACAGAACAAGGCTCAGCACGCTGGGCCAGCGCAATACCTTCGGCGGAATCGTTTCATATTACTAGTAAACAGCTATAGTAACAGCTCGCCGACAAGAAATCAAGCACAAGAGAACGCTTGTTAGATGCACTGACTGTGGCGACTGTGGTGCCAATGTTTTCACGACACTTATATTCACGCACTCTACAAACACGATCGGCCGTACGTGCGCCGCCTTTTATGGCTGTTCCATCGCTCACACGGCTGACGCCGCGCCCGGTCAGCGTACCCGTGGTCCTCGTAAAAGCTCACCGGTGTCAGCATTATGCAACCACGATGACCTTGTGCACAGCGCAAGTGACACTCGAAAGCGGTTTCTCTAATGCCCAAGGGGCGAGCACACAAGCGAAGGAGAAGTTGCAATCAATTAGGAACATTTAAGCTGTTGCTGTACACATATCGAACACAAAACTGCATATGTGCACACGATGTCCTCAGCACAAATGATCCACCCATTGTCACAAGCAGGAACATTGCACAACATTCACAGAGCCGCAATTGGCGTTCGTCGTGGTTCCATTTTGTCAATGTCCCCGAGCGCAATTTCACTGAGCACTTCAAATAATTCATCCCCCACACGGCATTTCGAGATACGCGATCGTTCTATATGCCCTGTTTACGCCCCGTCAGAGGCCCCGTGGCCAACAACAGGTTTTTAAACGTTGTAAAGTAAAATAAGGATCAAGATAACACTGCGTATCTAACATCGTGGCGCAAAGCATTAATATTCTCCGTCACTGATCGGTACGGGATCTACGCAGGCACACATGCGGCCATCCTGCCACCGACACTCACTGCGAGACCAACTACATTGCGCAACACAACGTTACTATAGCAACGACGCCATTGTGCCCAGTAGACATGGTCGCAATGACGTTATTTCCTCCACACTTTTCCCGCAGCACACCAGCTCGGAATACCGTTCTCATTCTTTCCTCCGTGGAAGACATCAATCAATCGCCTTTTCTAGACTAACAGGACCTGTTCAAGCAAAAAGAGGCCAGTTGTAAGAGATCTTGCTGATATCAACAGTGGCCTCCGAATCCAAGCCTAGGGGCAGCGGAGGAAGGGGGTGGGGGGGGGAGATAGCTTTGACTTGTATTCAGGCGCCATGCTTCTTTAAAGAGGTTGTTTTGCATGGATACTGCCGGAGCCCTATTGACATCTCAGCCAAGAGCAAGCCCTTGTGACCTCTCACACTGGACGCAAACCATGGTCTACTGTCATTCGGGCACGTCGGCAGTGCTGACTTTAGCCATTTTCTCCGAGATCTTCTGTTCACAACTGTAGACGAAACAAAGTGGCTAAAACCTTAAACGAACAGCCAAACAAAAGCTGCAATAAGCTGAAGACGTTTAGAGTTATGTTGGTTTTCGAACGCTGAAACCTCGGGTTGCGCAAACCCGTGTATACGCCTGGTTGAAAGTGATTGAATTCGTTCAGGGGGGGGGGGGGGGGGGGGGAAGGTTGGTTAGGGCTTGCAAGTAATAATGACATTTCGCAACTGCTCTTCATAAACAAAGGCTGCGTCATATAAAGAAACGAGTATGAAGGAGTTCCATGCATTTGGTTAAGTGTGAATACTTTCTTAACTTCTGTTCAGCAGTGATACATTTCAATCTTATATGCACCGACAAAAGCTGCGTGGATCGATACTGGGAGGACCAGCGTTTTAGTAACCATGCAATATTTTTCAGTTGCGAAGCTCGAGAATGTCTTTTTTATTCACAAGTATAGCTAAGACATTGTCTTTCTCTTTGCACAAAGCGATAGCAGAAACGCGACTGAAAGGTAAAAAATTATGGATATACAAAAAGGTGCACTAAATCACTGTTCGTTTCTCTTGCAGGAAGAAAATACCCAAGACGTTAGTGCCACTCACAGAGTACAAGTTGACAAGCAGCAGCGTCTGACGTGGCAAACATTCGGTCAACATCATCGTTGCGAGTTATCGGGCGCAGACCATGCACGTGTCACGTACAGCTTGTAGAAGTGCAAAGTAGGGAAATAAAGCCTGCTCTGGAAAACATTACTGTCGGTGAATTATCGCCACACAGTGAAAAACTCATGAGAACCGAAACGTAGAAACAAGCGTAGCTACTTATGCCTGGATGTGGGAGTGTCAGTCACGTGCTGATCGACTTTCCCACGTTCAGTTCACAAATATACCTAATAAAGTGGCTGTGGGTATAGCCGCTGTGGTAGCTCAGTTGGTAGAGCATCGAACGCGATATTCGAAGGTCACGGTTTGGTTCCGGCCCAAGGCAAGTTATCTTCTCACCAACGTTCTTTTTTTTATTCACATGTACATTCCTATTCCGTCGAATAACTTCCCCTATACTTTACTTGGCATTATTGTCTGATAGATATCTGTTAGATATATAGATATATATATATACATTATATATGTATAATTATATATATATATATATATATATATATATATATATATATATATATATATATATATATATATATATATATATATATATTGTCGCGAGAAGAAACGATAGGCAGGAACTCGAAGTGGAGGACTGTTTACTCAGCCACAGCTGCCATTCACTTCTTCGCTCTCGTCTTCTGCCACCACCACAGCGTGGCATTACCCCAAAGAATAAAAAAGAAGAAGCATCGCATGAATGCCACGGCTCCGAAAAACAACGAAAGGTAGTCAGAAATGTCTGTGTCCTTTGAAAAGAAAAAGGAGGAGATGAAAAATAAAGAAGCAAGAAAGTAATGCACAATTGTCTTGAAGCCTAATGCCACATCACAGAGTTCTTGACTTGCAGTCAACGCCAATAGTACGGCTTCATCCTGGAGACGTGAACCACATCCGAGGAGCAAGGTCTGCGAGAACGGTGTGACGTGTCTGCTGGGACAACTTCGTAGATCACTTCGCCGAGGCGATGAAGAACTCGGTATGATCCGAAGTACCGACATAACAAATTTTCTGAGCGTCCCCGTTGACGTATAGGAGTGCACACCCAGACTAGGTCACCGGGTTCATATATTACTGCTTTGTGGTGGGTGTTGTATTGGCAAGCATCTTGATTTTGCCGCGATAAAATTCGAAAGTGCGCCAGCTGCCGGGCGTCTTCGGCACGCAGAACAAATACATCTGCGTCCGCGGTAATCGTGCCCGGCAGAATTGGTTGCAGCATGGTGTCAAGCATTGTGGTGACGCCGCGGCCGTAAACCAGACGAAAAAGAGCAAAGCCGGTGGGTTCCTGCAAAGCCGTATTGTAGGCAAATGTTATATACGGGAAGATTTCATCCCAATTCTTCTGATCTTTGGCGACATACATCGAAAGCATGTCTGCAATCGTTTTGTTAAGGGGTTCGGTTAACCCGTTAGTCTGCGGGTGGTACGCAGTTGCTGTTCGGTGCGTCGTGCCGCTCAGCAACAGAATCTGTCGGAGTAACTGTGCCGTAAATGCAGTACCACAATCTGTGATGACGACAGCGGGAGCACCGTGGCGGAGAACGATGTTCTTGATGAAAAAGTCAGCCACCTTGGAAGCAGTTGCTCGCTGGGCGGCTTGTGTTTCGCAGTATCTGGTCAAATAGTCGGTGGCAACCACAATCGAGTGGTTACCACCCGTAGACTTCGGAAATGGGCCGAGTAAATCCATCCCGACCTTTTCAAAAGGTGCGTGAGGAGGTCGCAAAGGCTGAAGCACACCGGCTGGTTTTGTCGTTGGAGTTTTGCGGCGCTGACAGGATGTGCATGTCTTGACGTGCTGCCGGACGGATTTCGTAAGTTTCCGCCAGTAGTATTTGTCTTTGATCCGCGCCAGAGTACGTGCAAAGCCAAGATGCCCTGACAATGGCTCGTCATGACAAGCACGCAAAATATCATCGCGGAGAGCAGCAGGAACGACGAGGAGGTAAACAGTTTTCGTTGAATGAAAGTTGCGCTTGTAGAGGATGCCTTGGCGTAAACATAAATATGATAAATCACGCACGAACTGACGTGGGGGTTGTGGGCGACGTCCCTCAAGGTATTCGATCAGTGGTTGTAATTCTAAGTCTTCGCTTTGCTGCTCAGCCACGTTTAATGATGCGAGAATAGCAAGGCAGCTGAAGTCTTCATCATTGTCTTCTTCAGTGACCTCGACGGGTGTGCGGGAAAGACAGTCAGCGTCGGTGTATTTCTGACCAGACTTGTAAACCATCGTTATATCAAATTCTTGTAACCGAAGGCTCCATATTGCGAGACGGCCCGTAGGATCTTTCAGATTCGCTAGCTAGCAGAGAGAGTTGTGGTCACTGACAATTTGGAAGGGGCGTCCGTACAAGTAGGGCCTGAATTTCGTTATGGCCCATACAACCGCCAGACATTCTTTTTCAGTCGTCGAGTAGTTCTTCTCCGCAGATGACAACGTGCGGCTAGCGTAGGCGATGACGCGTTCCACGCCATCTTGATATTGCACGAGAATAGCTCCGAGGCCAAGGTTGCTCGCGTCAGTGCGGACTTCTGTGTCTGCTTCGGTGTCGAAGTGACCTAGGATCGGTGGCGTTTGTAGGCGTTGTTGAAGGTCGCGGAAAGCGCTGGATTGTTTGGGGCCCCAGACGAAGGTGACGTCATCCTTGACGAGTTGTTGTAGAGGGTCGGCGATTTTCGAAAAGTTCAGCACGAAGCGGTGGTAATAAGCACAAAGTCCCAGAAAGCGGCGTACATCATGCTTTGTTTTCGGTATCGGGAACAAAGCAACTGCCATAGCCTTGTCAGGATCGGGGCGAACACCACTGCTGCTAACAATGTGGCCAAGAAATTTCAGTTCCTCATATCCAAAATAACACTTTTCCGGTTTCAGAGAGAGGCCGGCAGTGCGAATAGCCAGAAGAACCGCCTCAAGCCGCTCAATGTGCTGTTCAAAAGTCGTAGAAAAAACGACTACGTCGTCTAAATACACTACACAAGAGTATCACCTCAAGCCACATAAAGCTGTGTCCATCATTCGTTGGAACGTGGCTGGAGTGGAGCACAGGCCAAAAGGGAGAACTTTAAATTCATAGAGACCGTCCGGTGTAATAAACGCTGTTTTTCTTGGTTCATTTCATCTACTTCAATCTGCCCATATCCGCCACGGAGGTCCATGGAAGAGAAGTAACGGGCGTGTCGCAGGCGATGCAAGGAGTCATCAATACGAGGAAGAGGATATACGTCTTTTTTCGTTATCTTGTTCAGTTTGCGGTAGTCGACGCAGAATCGTAATGAACCATCTTTCTTTGTAACCAGAACAGCTGGTGACGCCCAAGGACTAGTCGATGGTTGAAATACGTCGTCGACGAGCATTTGTTTCACTTGATGACGGATAGCATCTTGCTCCTTCTGCGACACATGGCAAGCATGTTGACGCACGGGTTGAACATTGGGCTCAGTGATAATTCTGTGCTTCATTAGAGGAGTCTGCCGGACTTTCGAAGTAGTGGCAAAACAGTCACTAAAGGATGAGAGGAGATGGAGGAGCCTTGCCCTCTTAGGTTCTTCCAACTGGCGATTGACGTTGAGGCGACTAGTCACGTAAGTATCACAGCTGTTCTCAGTCGAGATCGTCGTAATCAAAGGGAAGGCGTCCAAATTATCCAATGCCTCCAAGTAAGCTATGGTTGTGCGTTTCGCAAAATGCCTGTGTTCGCCACCGAAGTTCGTAACTAAAACCGTAGTCTGGCTAGTTCGCAGTTGAACGAGACTTCGAGCAATGGCCACTTCCCGATCAAGCAATACCGTCAGGTTACTTTCGGCGATGCCCGTAATCGACTGCTCCCGTGGACACTCAACAAGCACGAAGATACTACTGCGAGGTGGCAACGTGACGCAATCATAAACTACGCGTAAGGCCATGCCACGATATTCGTTCTCGATGTCGGAATCTGAAGAAACACAGTTAACAAAACTGACGAACAAATCACGCAGATTAATTATCGCTCCATACTCTTGCAGAAAATTCATGCCCAAAATGACCGGCCGAGAACAATTGGGCAGTACAAGAAATGACGTTACAAAAGCCGACGCTCAAATCTCAAGCCTGGCGGTGCACGTTCCTATAGAGGATACGAGGTGTCCTCCAGCGGTGATTAGTTGAGGCCCGTCCCACGTTGTCAGCACCTTGTGTAGACGGGTGGCCAATGAAGCACTCATCACTGAGTAATCAGCTCCCGTGTCGACAAGCACCTTTACCGGATAACAGTCTACGGAAACGGTAATGGCAGCGGACGTTCTGTTGGCGGTTTCACAAACAGGCTTTAACGGCACGTCGTAAGGCAGCGGCGGAGGGTATTTGTCGGTTCGCGTGACAGCGGCCTCACCTCCGGAAGTCGCCGCTTTTACTTTACCCGGCGTGGGCTTGCGCCACTGACACCAGGGGACCCAAAGGCGGGTCGGGCGCGGTGCGTTGATGTGAACGGACGGGGTGATGGTGGCCGTGACTGTCGTCGCGGCGGGACAGGAGCGTGATGACTACCTTCCAAGTAATCCGTAATTTCTTGTGGGCGCTCACCATAGCGTGGACAACGTGCATCGGGGTGGAATCCGCGTTGGCCTATTCGTCGGTAGTAACAGTCATGGTACATGTGTCCAACTTCGCCACAATGGTAGCACAAAGGACGATTGTCGGGAGCACGCCAGATGGTGGACTTCCGCGGGCCAGGACGAAAATCGGCCTGAGAAGGCAGGTGATGCGCTGGACTTGGAAAGCGTCTGGGGTTCCCAGTAGGTTATTGAGCAAAATGTGCCGTCGACGGTGTAGAGGCACGTAGGGCATCCGCGTAGGAAAGCGTGGGAGGTTCGACTTGCGATGGTGGTGAGGAGTGAACGAACTGCCTGATTTCGTTACGAGCGACGTTCGTCAGAGCAGCGCTACTGGGAGGGGACGCTGCATGAAATTTCCGAAGTTCTTCGCGTACAACTTGCCGTATGAGTTCTATGAGGACCTCCCTGTTATCACCTTCTGGTACAAGCGAGCACGCAGCGGACATGGCTGTCTGACGCTCATACTGCGACACCCCCTGCCGAAGCATGCGCTCCAT